GGCAAAAGTCCACACATCCTTTACTTAAGTAGAAGTACAGATACTCGTGTTTAAAAATACTCTGGTAAAAGTAGAAGTACTGACTAAACTTCTTTACTCAAGTGAAAGTAAAGTGGCTTTGAAATGTACTTCAGTAAAAAGTACCCATAACTAGCAGCTGTTTTAAAGAGTACCTGACCTCCCTTTATATTAATAGAACAATAATGTCATTGTTAGCTAATGAATGTTTCCATGCTGAACAACGGCAACATGACAACGTTTCCATTGGTCCCTCTTCTTTAGAGAAGACCAGGAAATGATGGATACACGGATCGTGTTCAAATCAATAGGCACGCAATGACTCTAAAGAATAATGATCACGCACCAAACACACATTCAGACTAAAGGAACCAGCTGTTTGGGAAATGAGAGAAGTAGAAAGTACAGGTATTTGAGTTCAACATGTAAGAAGTAGAAAGTACAGGTATTTGTGTTCAACATGAAAGAAGTAGAAAGTACAGGTATTTGTGTTCAACATGTAAGAAGTAGAAAGTACAGGTATTTGAGTTCAACATGTGAGAAGTAGAAAGTACAGGTATTTGGGTTCAACATGTGAGAAGTAGAAAGTACAGGTATTTGGGTTCAACATGTAAGAAGTAGAAAGTACAGGTATTTGAGTTCAACGTGTAAGAAGTAGAAAGTACAGGTATTTGAGTTCTACATGTAAGAAGTAGAAAGTACAGGTATTTGAGTTCAACATGTAAGAAGTAGAAAGTACAGGTATTTGAGTTCAACATGTGAGAAGTAGAAAGTACAGGTATTTGAGTTCAACATGTAAGAAGTAGAAAGTACAGGTATTTGAGTTCAACATGTAAGAAGTAGAAAGTACAGGTATTTGTGTTCAACATCTAAGAAGTAGAAAGTACAGGTATTTGAGTTCTACATGTAAGAAGTAGAAAGTACAGGTATTTGAGTTCAACATGTAAGAAGTAGAAAGTACAGGTATTTGAGTTCAACATGTAAGAAGTAGAAGTACAGGTATTTGAGTTCAACATGTAAGAAGTAGAAAGTACAGGTATTTGTGTTCAACATGTGAGAAGTAGAAAGTACAGGTATTTGAGTTCAACATCTAAGAAGTAGAAAGTACAGGTATTTGTGTTCAACATGTAAGAAGTAGAAAGTACAGGTGTTTGTGTTCAACATGTAAGAAGTAGAAAGTACAGGTATTTGAGTTCAACATCTAAGAAGTAGAAAGTACAGGTATTTGAGTTCAACATGTAAGAAGTAGAAAGTTCAGGTATTTGTGTTCAAAATGTAAGAAGTAAAAGTAAAAAGTAGTCAGAAAAATAAGTAATGGAGTAAAGTACTGATACCAGTAAAATGTACTTAAGTAAAGTAACGAAGTATTTGTAATCCACTATTTTCCCACCTCTGCAGGACCAAACCCCCCAAAATAGCCAAACTCTCCATGTTTGAGTGACACTGGAGACCTGATGGCCTTTTCTCCATAGTATACATGATTGTACATCTCACCTGAAAGCTGTAGAAGCACCCAGAGGTCTGTACACAATCCGCAATACAAGATTAAAGATCGAGTCCTACAGGTTAAAGTGCCGAAATAACTCGTTTTCTAACTTGATTTGATTTGAACCTGGATGTTTTGTTACAGAGCATTGAGTAACTTCCTCTTGCTGCTCAGAATAGACTGACAGAAGCCAAAGAGGAATAAAGAGCATTATAGCATTACGCTGCAAATCAGCCAGCGTCCATACAGATAAAATAATAATAACGAGTAGAGCCATGGTAGAGCACAGACCTCTGGTAAAATGATCCATCCTGCAACTCTAATCCACGCATACAATTCCTGGTTTCTTCTTTGGCCGATGCTATCATCTTCCAAGAAGTTTAGGGCTAATAATTTGCTCTGTAATATAGCTAACAAAACCTTCAATCCATTAACACATGCATGTAATGAAATGAACAGAAAACAGTCTAACTTTGAGATGTTTCTCCAGCCAATGACACATAAAACACAGTTTTCCTAGACCATTTTTGCATCATTGATCAGACTTTCACCTGCTTTCGAACTATGAAGTCCAAGTTAGTGCCAGTCACACAAGCTTTTCTCATATTTACTAAGTACTCGGATGTATGTGTATTTGCCTTTGAAGAATATTTAAAAATGTACCAAGCTGATATCTGACTGATACCAGTTTGTGCTTGAGGGCAAAAATAGAGCCGTGCATCTGAAGTTTGAAAAGTTTTAAGGGGATAAACAAAGGCCAAATTCAGTAAAGATTAAGCCCTGAATGTATGTACGTTTCTGTGTGTGTGTGCGTGTGCGTGTGCGTGTGCGTGTGCGTGTGTGTGTGCGGCCTAGCATTACTATACTTGTGGGGGCCTACATCTGTTTACACAGTCACGTGTGGGGACATAAAGGAGGTCCCCATAAGGGGAATCATTAATTTTAGGGTGAAGACTTGGTTAAGGGTAAGGGTTAGGGTTAGGCATGTGTTGGTTATGGTTAGGATAAGTCTCAAGGAAATGCATGAAAGTCAATGCAATGTCCCCTGAAGTGATGTATACATGGTATGTGTGTGTGTGTGTGTGTGTGTGTGTGTGTGTGTGTGTGTGTGTGTGTGTGTGTGTGTGTGTGTGTGTGTGTGTGTGTGTGTGTGTGTGTGTGTGTGTGTGTGTGTGTGTGTGTGTGTGTGTGTGTGTGTGTGTGTGTAGGGGGGGTTAAAGTAGAGATGAAAGGCCGGCCATTGCCTGCTGATGACTGATAGCATTCAGCAGGGCTTTGGCTGATGTCTGCCTGATAACACAGAGGACGGCTCAGTCTGACTGAGAAGGGGGAGGGGGGGGAGGAAGAGCCAATCAGAAGGCACCGGAAAAGTTGTGTTTTCCATGAAAAAGTGTATGTTTAAAATGTGTGTGTACATGGTGACATATAGGAGCCCCATTATAGAGAATTCAATCCAAAACGAAGGCAAATGTCGACCTTTTGCCGTGTTTTCCTCCATAAGTTCCATTATATTATTGTATCAGAACACTTGATGCTGCATTATAATTCAATTATATGACAAATAACCAATGTCTTCTTTAATAATGTTTAAAGGGCTCAAACAGCCAATCAGAATTGACCGGAAAGTTGTATTTTCCTTTAACAAAGTGTAATATGTACTGAAACAAGGTGACGTCATGTATAGCATCTGGAAACACCTTCTTTTTTTCTTTTTGTATGATTTATTTATGAGATTTTGAGCACAACAGACACACAATACACCTCCTACATGGAGTGAGATTGATACACAGTTGAATACTGTGGAACAAGGTATCAACAAAGAGACAGTTTACCCCCCTCCCCCCCCCCTTACAGACAAGCATCAATGAAATAGGATGCAATGGATTTTGAAACAGGTAATAATGGTAATGAAAGACCAATATTGGCCATACATGCCATAACACACACATTTACACCTGCTACTGTACTACAAGCTGAAGCTCATGGGGGGGGGGGGGGGCATAACCAGGTTGTCTAGATGTCAGGGTCAACATCTATTTGGAGAGATCTGACATGCTCTAGGAAGGGTTGCCATATCTTATAGAATTTCTGTTCCGAGAAACGCAGACAGTATTTAATCTTCTCCAGTCTCATAAAATGAAGGGCATCCTTTATCCATTGAGAATGAGAGGGGGGGCAAGGGCCTTTCCACCGCAGCAGAATGGCACGTCTTGCTAACAATGTGAGAAAGGCAACAAGCTCAGCAAAATAGGACGGCAGTGAGAGGCCAGTGGGTAGGACACCAAACAGGGCGAGTAATGGTGAGGGTCGGATATTGGCAGATGAGGCTGAGAGGGAGTCAAAAACACAAGCCCAGAAAGGAGCAAGGGTGGGGCAGTACCAGAACATATGACTGAGATTGGCTGGTCCTTTGGAAACACCTTTTGATGTCAGAATTGTGGGATGTATTTCATATATTGTGCATTTATTTATACACATTTACCCAAAACATTAGGGTTAGGGTTTGTAATCGCTCAAATCGATGTGTTTGAATAGTCTAATACAGGCATGATTGAGTAAGGCCATCAGACAAATGATTACAGACATGTTTGAGGTTGCAAGCCAATCAGAAACAAACATTGTCAGCAGACATGGTGCAGATTATTTTATCAGTGTTAGGTATATACTAAAGGTGCAGATAACACACAAGCAGCCCTCAAGTGCACACCCTTCGCTTCCTGTAGGATACACTGTGATCATGTGACTCCTTTTAAAACCCCAAACCTCTCATTCAGCCGCTGTTCGGAGCACTGACACAGAGAAGGCCATTCTCATCCCCTGAAACAAAGACCTCTACAGCAGTAATGGTGGTGAAGAGGTCAGGGGTCAGGGGTCAAAGAGCACATGTTTCAGGAAAGAGTCGTCCCTTAACGTTTTGTAGCCTTGTTTTAACTGCCGGGCCGAACCAAGACAGCGTGACGACAGCCATGTCTGTTAAAACAAACAATCCCCACTTCAAGTTTGTTGTAAATCCTCAGAAAAACAGTTAAGAGGCGCGTTACAAAGTGCTTTTCCTGCACTCGCAAATCACTTAGTTGTTCAAAAACCCCGCCATCCTGACCTCAAGTGCCAAGAAGTTGCATTAAAACATCAAATTATTCTTATAAACTGGTGAACTTGCCTGATATCAGCTTTATGTTTTGCTGAAAAAGTTGTGAAATGCTTAGAAAATCCACCCTCAAATCCAACAATCTCCACTTCCCATCTCTGCTGAGCTCCCGCTAAAAAATTGCGTTTCAAAGTCCTGTCCGAGTGTTACAAATCTTTCACAACCCGACGATAAGGAACGATACACACGGCTCAATAATCAGCTTTACAAATATCACTATCAGGGCTTAAAGAGGTCATTTTACCCTATCAGCTCGAGCGGAAAAGCTGAAGCAGCAATTAAAAGTCCAGGTGCTGAAGGCAAGGTGTTCAACATCTCTGAAGCGTATTAGGAAGCGATGGTTCTTACCAGGCAGACGCAGGTGATGCAGGGGTTGTCCGTGATGTTGGGGATGTGGAGGACTTCTCCCTCGTTCTCACAGCTGGCCTCGGTACCTGAGAACGACAGAAAAAAAAGTGACCGAGGTAAGACAAAGGTCTGGACTTCTGACTGTAAACAAACCTTCACCTTCGCAATCAGCTGTCAGCAGAGACGGCAAAAGTACACACATCCTTTACTGAAGTAGAAGTACAGATACTCGTGTTTAAAAGTACTCTGGTAAAAGTAGAAGTACTGACTAAACTTCTTTACTCAAGTAAAAGTAAAGTGGCTTTGAAATGTACTTCAGTAAAAAGTACCCATAACTAGCAGCTGTTTTAAAGAGTACCTGACCTCCCTTTATATTAATAGAACAATAATGTCATTGTTAGCTAATGAATGTTTCCATGCTGAACAACGGCAACATGACAACGTTTCCATTGGTCCCTCTTCTTTAGAGAAGACCAGGAAATGATGGATACACGGATCGTGTTCAAATCAATAGGCACGCAATGACTCTAAAGAATAATGATCACGCATCAAACACACATTCAGACTAAAGGAACCAGCTGTTTGGAAAATGAGAGAAGTAGAAAGTACAGGTATTTGAGTTCAACATGTAAGAAGTAGAAAGTACAGGTATTTGAGTTCAACATGTAAGAAGTAGAAAGTACAGGTATTTGAGTTCAACATGTAAGAAGTAGAAAGTACAGGTATTTGTGTTCAACATGTAAGAAGTAGAAAGTTCAGGTATTTGAGTTCAACATGTAAGAAGTAGAAAGTACAGGTATTTGAGTTCAACATGTAAGAAGTAGAAAGTACAGGTATTTGAGTTCAACATGTGAGAAGTAGAAAGTACAGGTATTTGAGTTCAACATGTAAGAAGTAGAAAGTACAGGTATTAGTGTTCAACATGTAAGAAGTAGAAAGTACAGGTATTTGTGTTCAACATGTAAGAAGTAGAAAGTTCAGGTATTTGAGTTCAACATGTAAGAAGTAGAAAGTACAGGTATTTGAGTTCAACATGTAAGAAGTAGAAAGTACAGGTATTTGAGTTCAACATTTAAGAAGTAGAAAGTTCAGGTATTTGTGTTCAACATGTAAGAAGTAGAAAGTACAGGTATTTGAGTTCAACATGTAAGAAGTAGAAAGTACAGGTATTTGAGTTCAACATGTAAGAAGTAGAAAGTACAGGTATTTGAGTTCAACATGTAAGAAGTAGAAAGTACAGGTATTTGAGTTCAACATTTGAGAAGTAGAAAGTTCAGGTATTTGAGTTCAACATGTAAGAAGTAGAAAGTACAGGTATTTGAGTTCAACATGTGAGAAGTAGAAAGTACAGGTATTTGTGTTCAACATGTAAGAAGTAGAAAGTACAGGTATTTGAGTTCAACATGTAAGAAGTAGAAAGTACAGGTATTTGAGTTCAACATGTAAGAAGTAGAAAGTACAGGTATTTGAGTTCAACATGTAAGAAGTAGAAAGTACAGGTATTTGAGTTCAACATGTAAGAAGTAGAAAGTACAGGTATTTGAGTTCAACATGTAAGGAGTAGAAAGTACAGGTATTTGAGTTCAACATGTAAGAAGTAGAAAGTACAGGTATTTGAGTTCAACATGTAAGAAGTAGAAAGTTCAGGTATTTGTGTTCAACATGTAAGAAGTAGAAAGTACAGGTATTTGTGTTCAACATGTAAGAAGTAGAAAGCACAGGTATTTGTGTTCAACATGTGAGAAGTAGAAAGTACAGGTATTTGTGTTCAACATGTGAGAAGTAGAAAGTACAGGTATTTGTGTTCAACATGTGAGAAGTAGAAAGTACAGGTATTTGAGTTCAACATGTAAGAAGTAGAAAGTACAGGTATTTATGTTCAACATGTGAGAAGTAGAAAGTACAGGTATTTATGTTCAACATGTGAGAAGTAGAAAGTACAGGTATTTGTGTTCAACATGTAAGAAGTAGAAAGTACAGGTATTTATGTTCAACATGTGAGAAGTAGAAAGTACAGGTATTTGTGTTCAACATGTGAGAAGTAGAAAGTACAGGTATTTGTGTTCAACATGTAAGAAGTAGAAAGTTCAGGTATTTGAGTTCAACATGTGAGAAGTAGAAAGTACAGGTATTTATGTTCAACATGTAAGAAGTAGAAAGTACAGGTATTTGAGTTCAACATGTAAGAAGTAGAAAGTACAGGTATTTGTGTTCAACATGTAAGAAGTAGAAAGTACAGGTATTTGAGTTCAACATGTAAGGAGTAGACAGTACAGGTATTTGAGTTCAACATGTAAGAAGTAGAAAGTACAGGTATTTGTGTTCAACATGTAAGAAGTAGAAAGTACAGGTATTTGAGTTCAACATGTAAAAAGTAGAAAGTACAGGTATTTGTGTTCAACATGTACGAAGTAGAAAGTTCAGGTATTTGAGTTCAACATGTGAGAAGTAGAAAGTACAGGTATTTGTGTTCAACATGTGAGAAGTAGAAAGTACAGGTATTTGAGTTCAACATGTAAGGAGTAGACAGTACAGGTATTTGAGTTCAACATGTAAGAAGTAGAAAGTACAGGTATTTGAGTTCAACATGTAAAAAGTAGAAAGTACAGGTATTTGTGTTCAACATGTACGAAGTAGAAAGTTCAGGTATTTGAGTTCAACATGTGAGAAGTAGAAAGTACAGGTATTTGTGTTCAACATGTGAGAAGTAGAAAGTACAGGTATTTGTGTTCAACATGTGAGAAGTAGAAAGTACAGGTATTTGTGTTCAACATGTAAGAAGTAGAAAGTACAGGTATTTGAGTTCAACATGTAAGAAGTAGAAAGTACAGGTATTTGAGTTCAACATGTAAGAAGTAGAAAGTACAGGTATTTGAGTTCAACATGTAAGAAGTAGAAAGTACAGGTATTTGAGTTCAACATGTAAGAAGTAGAAAGTACAGGTATTTGAGTTCAACATGTGAGAAGTAGAAAGTTCAGGTATTTATGTTCAAAATGTAAGAAGTCAAAGTTAAAAGTCGTCAGAAAAATAAGTAGTGGAGTAAAGTACTGATACCAGAAATATGTAATTAAATACAGTAACAAAGTATTTGTACTCCACTACTTCCCACCTCTGTCTGGACCACATGACGTCACACAAGCTCGTGCTCAATAAGCTGTGAAAGCAGGTGAATCACGACCAGAGGATCAAACTGCACTAATCAATATTTCTGTAATAACAAGCAAGAGCTCGTAAGGGAAAACCAGAGGTCAGTTTGCCTGCGCTTTACGTATCTTTACATCGTTTTTACGTAGCCTTTTTAGCATCTATTAGCTCTCTGTTATTGGTTCAGTCTCACCAATAGAACAGGAAGTGGACGTAGCTTTTGGGAATAGCAGTGCCAGAAAAGTAGGTGGAGCTACGTACAACCAAACGCCTTAACATCTTATTTAGGAGATCAAAACGTTACTATTAGTTTCATGAACAGACGACAATAAGAGAGGCCACGCCATAAAACCTAAGGTACGGGAACATAATTTACAAATACAACAAATCCTGCATTATTAAAGAACACTTGAAACAGCCAAGGAGCTCATAAACTTATCAGGAAAATACTGAGCGAGGTAATACATCAAGTGACAAGTAGGGTCATTTTATAATAGACTTCTATCTGCTGGTTGGATGGTGCGCTAACATTTGATGCTATCTTGTTGTTTTGTGACTAGAAGAGCCAAGAGAAGGTGTAGCTAAGTGCATAATAAGACATTTCTAGTCAAAATGTCGCAAGAACTGAAAGAGATAAATGGTAAGACGAAAAGAAAGACGTCACGCCTTAAAGCAAACGTTATTTTATCGTCAATTTGACTCTTAATGGGATCATAATTTAAAGAATGCTTTGTTGAATAAGACCTAGACAAGAAGTTGAGACCACTCTGTCATTAGGAAAATGTTTACTGAAGTTATAAATCGAGTTCGAAGTTGGGTCATTTCCTTATAGACTTCTATACAATCAGACGTTTTCTTGCACAGAGACGCCCCCTGCTGGCCGTTAGAGATAATGCACGTTTAAGGCATTGCACTTTTATCACTTTTCCTCACCGGCTAACGTTTCTTCCCTTTCTGCGACACATCCCACTGTGTGCGGTTTGTCCGTCCAGGTAAAAGCACTCACATATAAACCGAGGTCTTAAAAAACGTAAGTCACTCAGTGGGTTACGAGAGCAAAATGTAACCCGAACCAAGGACAGGAAACGACCCCAAAACACAAGGGTTTATGGGTAGAAGCAGACAGATGTCATTGTCAACATCTCACGGTTCCTTCTCTTCGGATATCGGCAGAGAAAGAAATCTGCTCTGTGTTCATGTGCCAGGTTTGTTTGAAATGGCTAAAATGATAACTTCCTTCCTACTCATTGTCCTGATCTGGGAGTTAGACAGAGGTCATCGGAGGTAAATCCTTAAGCGCTCTGTTTGAGTGTCAAACTACTTCCTGTTTCCTCCAGCTGATCCTATCTGCTGGAACAAAAAGCGTTGTATTCACTCTGGTTTTGACCAAACTAGAAACTCTTTTCTCCATGTCCTGCTTCATCCAGTGACTCCATGGCGATGCTTTACGGGTTTTCTTATCTCACCTTTTGGCAAAAAGCTGTTCAAGCAGTAAACACCCAAATATTTGTACACACTCTGCAAACATAACGTTAAAGACCAAGATGTTTTTGAGCAATATTTGGCGAGGCTCTTATCACACTGTGACCTTTAGCTTCTGACCCGCTGAATGTTTGCTTTGTTGTAATGTGGAGGTTTTAGAAATGCACCGTTTAGCTAAATCTATCCCACAAACAACGCATGGCGATGTCCTGCAGGCAAGGAGTCTGGAGGGTAGTGTCCCTACAGACTTAACGTGTAAGGGATGTCTACTTTGCATTAAGGTCGCTCATTAGCATGTACATTGACTAGCTTTACATACATTAAGCCTACTGAGAGTTATAAAACGACACTGTTAACATTAAACTGATGTCCGCATTAATGGATAACCATTTCTAATCCAGAGATATAATATATACTAATCAGAAAATGATCGTTCTGCACTTTGAGCACTTTTAGTTTTTAAGTAGATTTTGATGCCAATACTTTAGTACTTTTAGTTCAGTAACATTTTGAATGCAATATTTCAACCACTACTGCTTTTAGACCTTGCTTTGTTAGCAGTGTGTGACAAATACCTCAACTCCTTATTTGACTTCATTTTAGTTTGACATACAAGTTTATTAAGTAAGGAATTGACTTAACAATCTTTACTTTTTTTGTTTTAATAGACAGAATAAACAGATATCCTTTTATTTTACAATCTGTGTCCTTTTTGCTCACCAAATAAGCCCCAAAGAGAGAGCCATACACCACAAAAACTCTAAATCTTGCCCAGTATATGTGTCTGATATCTAGTCAGAATATGTCTCTACACCTGATATAAGACACACTAACTTCAGAGGTGACACTGCAGTGAGATATCAGGTCTTGTTTTTAGACAATGCATCATCTTGTTGAGTCAAATAATCTTAGTTTGAGTCGTATCTCAGATGAAACACGTCTTTTTTTACATATTTATTGGAAAATCACCAGAAAACGTAACACTTTTGAGCATTTGCGGCTCATATTGTAACACAACATTTCCTGATTCTGGATGTGTTCGCCCAGCTAACTACAAGATCTGATGTATCTAAATATCCCGCCCTCAAGGACTCTTACCAAGCAAATGTGTCACTTGTTCTATTGGCAGATTTTTGTACTTATTTCAAGTGAAAAAACACCTTGTTTTCATTATTGTTTAACTTGTTTTTTCCAGTGTAAGGTAAAGGAAGGAAACAAATGGCCGCCACGCCGTCCTGGTTGCTATCAGTTTGTTTCTGAGCTGTTAATGGACCAAATCTCCACAACAATAGATCCTTATAGCACGGATCCTGGCAGAGCAGACGAACCCTGCCGACTCCGAAACCGCTGTAAAATTTACAACCTTTGAGTGTAATTAAACTGGCTGTAAGTGGTGGTGCTAGTGGGGGCGAAGGGGGTTCAAACGAGGGGGGTTTTGGGTCTCTGAGGCCTCGTCTTCATCCTGACAAAATACCTCCTCCTCCTCCTCCTCGGCTGCTGTGTTTACCTCATAACATCCAGAGAGAAAGCCAAGAGAGAAAGTATAAATCCAAACCCTGGCGCTAAACATGTCGTTTGATTAAAAAAAGGAGAAACACAAGGCAGTAAAAAGGACAGAATGAGACGCACAGTGGGGGGGTTATTAAAGGGGCTGCAGCTAAAGGACAGCGGGGGTCGGTAAAGGTCACTTTCACTCTGACTTTGAAGGCTGATCCCGCTCCGATAGTCACGTCCATTTTAGATACAGTCGGTGAAATACCAACGTTTATTAAGGTCAGAGTCGAATAAACGTCTTACTGGACTCGTGAAGCCAGTTAGATAAACGTACACATAAATAGTCTTTAAATAGCTTCAGCTTCAGATATGAAACATGTCTGAGGGGAAAGTAGAATTAAAAAATACTCCATTATAAGTAAAAGTTCTGAATCAAAACTGTTATTAAGAAAATGCACACGAATTCAAGGTAAAACCACTCGTGATGCAGAACAATACCCCACTGTCCTGGATTATTATTAATGATGTCAGTCACATTTTATAGTTCGCAGAGGAGCTCGTTTCACCCACTTTCAAAATTAATACATTTGTAGGTTTGCTAAGAAAATGCTGTTATTTTTTATTTGGAAAAAGTTAATTTATTTATCTTGAAAACCCTGAATAGTTTTTTTTAAGTGCTTCAATCGCATAAAATATAAATACTCTAGTACAACTACCTCAAACTCGTACTTTTAATTTAACTTCACTAAAGTCATAATAACAAGGGGTGGTTTGAAAAAGAAAGAGTTATCCCCATAGATTTATGAAAGCTTATATATCATCATAATTCAGATTTGCCCAGAATAACTCTGTGACAAAATACATGTTATTATAAATCTGACGTTGGCAATTATGTCACCGCATGACAGACAATTATTAAAAGTAAAATCAGTTCTTAAATCAGTGAAGTCCATGAGGTTTCTGGTTAAAACTGACGGCAATTAGGATCTAAAAAAAAGTACTTTTAGTAACTTGTATGCATGTTTTTCTCCAGTCCAGACACGACACAAGCCTTTCTGATTTCAAAAAGGTAAATTGTGACTTTATCAAAGTGTATTAAGGTCAGTAGAGTGATATAAAGAGACAAGGATCACAAGCAGCACGTGTCCAGGAGCAGATTTGAACCCGTAATGCTGTAAAAACACTTTAACCGGTCCCACTGTAACACCTCCACCCGAACAGACCCCATGACACAGAGCATATGGCGGAGGGATCTGATCACACACAGGTTGTTGCTTTTCTACACAGCTTCTTCTTGTCAAACATTTTCCACTTCAGAGACCCATCTGGTCCCGGTTTGCCCCTCCACCTGATCCCCATCGCTCGGCTCGCTCCACAGATACGAGTCAGGAGGAGATGGAAGCTCTGATAAGGGATGTGAAAACAGGTACTTCTGTCTCTGCTTGTGGACCTCTGACGTCAACGAGAAAGGGAAACCTCTGTTCTGAATCACTTTAAAGGGTTTCTTATTGTGTTAAAGAAATTGAACTCACTTTACTGGGGGTGAAAGCTTTTAGTCACTTGGAAAAGTCTGGAAATAATCTAAATTGATTTGTCTCTCTGCTTGATTTTAAAGCTTTTTGAGACGATCATTTTGATGGTTTTAATATTTCAACATGTTAATTATGTGGTGGAAGAAGTACTCAGATGTGTAGACTTTTATAGACTTGTATAGACTTTTACCACAGTGTTAAACTGAAATGACCAAAACTAAAAGTCATAATGCAGAATGTCCCTTATCAGAAAAAGATATCGCTGGATAATAATGAGTGATCCTTAAATAATGTGAACATCATTTTAATTTTGCTGCCGGATAAAAGCGGAGTTTTCAATTCTTGACAAATTTAAAATATGACTCAGCAGCAGAGCTACTTGTGTTCACAAATGATTGAGTACAAATGGTTTGCTTCCACATTTAATTGGAGTAGCGTACAATGGAAATACTCAAGAACCACGCAACGCTAAATGCAGTACTTTGATTAAATGTATAGTTACATATACACCAGTGGTTATTTGTATTATTTCCCCAACATTAAGCTCCTGTCTTTGCTAGGTAGCCTTATAAGTTATAGGCCTGAGGATCTCAAATGGTCTTACTTTATGAAATATGGGTTTAAAAAAATGGAATTAGCATGAAATTCACCTATTTTGAGCAAGGAACCGCTCCCAAAGGAACTACAACCCAGGTAAATATCATATTTGAATGCCTTGAATCCTCACAGTGCTATAGAGTGCTTCGCTGCCTCTCTATTATTCGCGTTTCCCCGCTGCAGGGCGAACAGACGATGTCCTGATGCACTGCGGCTGTCAGAGGGGGAGCAGACACGAGCTGCTTAACACAAGTGATTTACAACCGGCTCTTACCCAAAACACTGGCTTAATTATAACTTATCCTGACAAACAACCATTTGACTAAAGATCTCTTATCTATTTAACGCAGAGCTTTGATCCCAAAGATCACAATTGTTGTATAATTCCTCTAAAGTTTCAGATACATGACTTTGAGATTGACTCGCGCATCGCTGCAAATACCGCGCGCCAGGCTGGGTTTGGTGGTATCTCTCCACGAAGCAGACCAATTATACAGGGAGGCACCGGAGGATAACCCGGGTTAAACCGAGGTTATTATCCAGCCTCATGTGAGCCATCCAATCAGGCGCTTTCAAACAAGAAACAAAATGCAATTTACTCACATTTTTCTGCCTTTAACCACAGAGAAAAACCCTGAAATGTTGACTTTAATTTCATGTATTATGTCAACACATTTCACATAACTGTATTAGGTTAGAGGCAAGTTGAACCTAAGGTTTTTTATTTAAACTTAATATAACTGCTTACAACTAACCTTATAAAATGATGTGTAATTTGTAGACATAATATATTTAATTCAGTTTCAGTTCTTCAGTACATCGTTATGTTGCCATAGCGGTGATGCAAAATACAGACCTGAGGTTGTAAAAGAAAAGACAATTAAAGAGTTTTTATCTGCATTTTGTTGATGTTTTTGCTTCAATCTGGAGCTTTTATTGGACCTCTACAACTGGTGAGCAGGATTATAAAAGCGAGGCTGACTTTGATTCTGGTGCGGAGTAAAAACAGACTGGAGACTAAATAACCGGGGTAACTTCGGATAGATTTTACGCACGGTGGGAGTTGTGCGATGTGTTATTATGAAGCCGCATAAAAGCCCTTTAATCTTACCTGTAATTAGCGGAGAGGAGGACCGGGGCGTTTGGAGCAGCAACACAAAGCAGAAGAAAAGCCTACAGGTGGACCAGGAGGGAGGGATCCGGCAGCGGAGCAACATCCTCCAGCTTCTCCAGGGAAACTCACAGCGAACACGGAGGAATACAATCAATCCAGAGGGAAAGGAGAAGAGCAACAAGATCCACGTTTCTCCTGCGTCTTTATTCCAGCGGCTCAGTGTGTGTGTTTGCGCTGAAATGCAAAGCGGCGATCAGCCAGACGCGCACAGGTCACACCGACATTACAATGACAAAGACGCGCAGGAGACAGGAGTCCGTGGATGAAAACAGACAAACAAAAAAGAAATCCCAAATCCTGCCGCGGGTCCTGAGAGGAGGTCTGGAGGCTCGGGTCTCTCTCAGCAGCGGGTCCTGAGAGGAGTTCTGGAGGCTCGGGTCTCTCGCAAAGTGTCCGGACAGATTCACGCTAACAGCTGATCTGAGCTCAGTTTCAACGCGACTGAGTTTCAGAAGCGAGTCAGGACGTAAGAGACGTTTTCCAGGAGTCCTTTCGATCTGAGTGCGTCTGGCACATGGATGCTGGAGGACGGAGGAGTGGACTCTCTCTCTCTCTCTCTCTCTCTCTCTCTCCTCTCTCTCTCTCTCTCATCTCTCTCTCTCTCTCTCTCTCTCTCTCTCTCTCTCTCTCTCTCTCGTCTCTCTCTCTCTCTCTCTCTCTCTCTCTCTCTCTCTCTCTCTCTCTCTCTCTCTCTCTGGAGTTAAAGTGGACCTCATGTGTCGGAGCAGCACACACAGTTCTGCCTCCTGTGTGAGAGCCGGGACCTCTTCCTCTTCCTCCTCTTCCTCCTCCTTCTCTTAGCTCCTCCAGAATTTTCCTTTTTTAATAATCACAGTCTCTCTGCTCCTATCTGCCTTTGTCTGTCTGCCTGCTACTGAAACATCACTTGTGTGTGTGTGTGTGTGTGTGTGTGTGTGTGTGTGTGTGTGTGTGTGTGTGTGTGTGTGTGAGAGAGAGAGAGAGAGACCAGCCTCCTGCTTTGGGATCCAGTTTCATTACCAACAAACCAGACTGCATGTGCTTCATGTCTAAGTGAGGAAGAGGATTGAAGTCAAGTGCAACATGTGTGTCTCTGCAGAACACACATTTCTTCTAACATGACCAACATTTAAAACAGATTGCTTAACAAGTTTTCCACCACAGACACACTTGATAGACTGAGTGTCTCTCACTTCAAATGAACCCAATCGAACTCAAACAGTGCACACACTCTTCACACTGAGGTGTATCCAGGTATAGTTCCAACAGAGGAACATGTTATTGCTCCAGCGTGCGATTAGATTTACTCCAACTTGCACAAAACCAAAGCCAGCTCCATCCAGAAATGTTTTCCCGGTTTGGTGAAGAAGAGCCATATCCTCCGTCACTATAGGATATTGTTAGTTAACTCACATGTAGTCGACTCTGGTTATGAGGAAGATGTCATGCTTTACGTTTGATCTGACCTGCATTCGGTCTCGTGCCGAACAGAGACACAAAACAAACGCCTCATTTCAGCATTTTCTTCCCATAAATCTGCATCTGGAGTCGACATTAAAGTCTTATGTGACAGATGAGACGGGCTGCATGACAGTATAGATATCTGTGCGTGTGTGTGTGTGTGTGTGTGTGTGTATGTCTAGCCTCTTTAAAGTGAGGCTCGTCAGAAGCTCAGATGGGAGGAAAAGCGAGTCTTCAAAGAAATAATTAGGACCCACCCAGCAGCCGCTCGATCTGCTGCACACACACAGCCAGGTGTGAGTGTGTGTGTGCGCGCGTGTGTGTGTGTCAAACAGACAGGGGGAAGAGAGTCAAAAGGGAAATGTATCAGTGTGTGTGTGTGTGTGTGTGTGTGTGTATACAGTATGTGTCAATGAGAGAAAGTCTGAGAGAGAGTTGTGTGTGTCAAAAAGAGGAAAGGAGTTGGTGTTTCAAAGAGAGGAAAAGCATCATCAAAGAGTGTGTGTTTAAAAGAGCGTGTGTGTGTGTGTGTGTGTGTGTGTGTGTGTGTGTGTGTGTGTGTGTGTGTGTGTGTGTGTGTGTGTGTGTGTGTGTGTGTGTGGGGGGATACACTTAAGATAAAGTGTGTGAAAGAGACAATAATATGAGTCTCTCTCAGAGGTAAAGTGTGTTAAAGTGTGTGTGAGGGTGATGGTTGGTGTTGGTAACCACTAGATGGCAACAGAGAGGGAGGGTGACCTGGTCTGACCGCACACACACACACACACACACACACACACACACACACACACGTTCATTTGAAATTAACACTTTAGGGCAAAACAAGTGCAAAATGTTACCTTTTTTTACAATTCCATTTTCATGGATGAAAGACGTCGCTACAGATTAATGTCCTGAATAAAATGTTTGTATAAATATTTCTGAATAAAGTTTTAGGAAGGACTCAAAGACCCAATTTCCCACACACATACACCCTAAGAAAATAAAGTAAAAGTGTGGCATCCTAGAAGAGTGTTTCCTCTGCACTACTAGTGTCTACTTTTCTCATTGCTGAATCTGCACCGGAGCTACAGTGCACATTGTGTGTATCGTGTTAACAGAGACTGGCCCTTCAACAGTGTTTTTATTTGACAGTTGATATAATTTTTATCTCCACGGTCATCTGTATATTTTTCTTACTCTCTAACGCTGGTTTATTTCTATTTCTATTTCCAGATGTTTATATTCTATAATTGTTTTATTCCTCTACTCTTTTAATTTGTTATTATGTGCAATGCCTTGTTTTGTTTCATGCTGCTGCGACAACACATTTCCACAAGTACATCTTATCTTATCATACGCCAATAAAGCCCCTTTGAATTTGAACGAAAGACAAAAGAGGTGTTCTGTTTTGGAGGGAGACGGGAGGAAGAGGAGGAAGAGGAGATGGAGGAACTGACCTGCAGACGTCAGAGATTTCAGACTGCAGACGGGACCCCCAGCGGCCCGGAGGTTAAACCCCCCCGCAGCCGGGAGGTCTAAGAGAGGGGGAGGAGGAAGAGGAGGTTAGACCCAGCTGTCCATCTAATGCAGGGGTGTCCAAACTTTTTTCACCGAGGGCCACATACAGAAAAACATACGAAGAGCTGGGCCCTTGAGGTATATCGCCTCATAAGTTCAGTTATAAGTCAGCAAAATTAATCAAATGTAGGTCAATTATTCTTGATACTTGAATATACTTTAAGAAACAGCCAACATCCCAGCTCTCCAGAGGGTTTCATTTATCTTGTTAGCAGCTCATTCCTTAAAACAGAAGCCTCAGATTGATTATCATGAGAGGAAATATGAAAGGTTTATTTCAAACGTGTTGAAACCTATCTGTTTTCATTTGTGGGCCGCATTTCCTTATACTCTCATTATAGCATTCCTTTTATTGAGGTTTTGGTCTGAAATAGATATCCTACATGATTACAATATTATTCTTTATGTGAATATTAGAAAACAAATGCAATATTATTATCAGATTAATCTGACCGATTTACTACTTTCATCAATCATAACTTTTTTGTTTTACATTCGATTGCATTAAGGCTTCATGATATCCTTCACAGTAGACATTTGAACATATACAATTGCTGATCACCACTTTCATTGAACTTTGGATGATTTAGTCAACTTTCGCTACCCATGGTGTTCCCGGTCAAAAATGACAATTTGATACATTTCCCGCTCTTATGTGCCCATCCCCCCATATGGATCACACCTGGCACACGCATGTTCAGTGTCTATTCTTTGTATATTTACTGCAGTTTTTCATGTATATATTCACCACCACCAGAGTGGTAAGCCACTCCCCTTCAGACCGACCCCAACTCTCCATTCACCACCACCAGGGTCAAGCTAAGCCACTACCCTTCAGACCGACCCAAACTATCCAATCACCACCACCAGGGTCAAGCTAAGCCACTCCCCTTCAGACCGAACCCAACTACCCATTCACCACCACCAGGGTCAAGCTAAGCCACTCCCCTTCAGACCGACCCCAACTATCCATTCACCACCACAAGGGTCAAGCTAAGCCACTCCCCTTCAGACCAAACCCAACTATCCGTTCACCACCACCAGGGTCAAGCTAAGCCACTCCCCTTCAGACCGAACCCAACTACCCATTCACCACCACCAGGGTCAAGCTAAGCCACTCTCCTTCAGACCGACCCCAACTATCCATTCACCATCACCAGGGTCAAGCTAAGACACTCCCCTTCCGACCGAACCCAACCATCCACTCACCACCACCACGCTCAAGCTAAGCCCCTCCTCTTCAGACCAACCCCAACTATCCATTCACCACCACCGGGTCAAGCTAAGCAACTCCCCTTCAGACCGAACCTAATCATCCACTCACCACCACCAGGGTCAAGCTAAGCCACTCCCCTTCAGACCGAATCCAACTACCCATTCACCACCACCAGGGTCAAGCTAAGCCACTCCCCTTCAGACCGACCCCAAGTATCCATTCACCACCACCAGGGTCAAGCTAAGCCACTCCCCGTCAGACCGAATCCAACTACCCATTCACCACCACCAGGGTCAAGCTAAGCCACTCCCCTTCAGACCGACCCCAACTATCCATTCACCACCACCAGGTTCAAGCTAAGCCACTCCCCTTCAGACAGAACCAACTATCCGTTCACCACCACCAGGGTCAAGCTAAGCCACTCCCCTTCAGACCAACCCAACTACCCGTTCACCACCACCAGGGTCAAGCTAAGCCACTCCCCTTCAGACCGAACCCAACTACCCATTCACCATCACCAGGGTCAAGCTAAGCCACTCCCCTTCAGACCGAACCAACTATCCATTCACCACCACCAGGGTCAAGCTAAGCCGCTCCCCTTCAGACCAACTCCAACTATCCATTCACCATCACCAGGATCAAGCTAAGCCACTCCCCTTCAGACCGAATCTAACCATCCACTCACCACCACCAGGGTCAAGCTCCTCCCCTTCAGACCGACCCCAACCATCCACTCACCACCACCAGGGTCAAGCTAAGCCACTCCCCTTCAGACCGAACCAACTATCCATTCACCACCACCAGGGTCAAGCTAAGCCACTCCCCTTCAGACCGAACCCAACTACCCATTCACCATCACCAGGGTCAAGCTAAGCCACTCCCCTTCAGACCGAACCAACTATCCATTCACCACCACCAGGGTCAAGCTAAGCCACTCCCCTTCAGACCGACTCCAACTATCCATTCACCACCACCAGGGTCAAGCTAAGCCGCTCCCCTTCAGACCAACTCCAACTATCCATTCACCATCACCAGGATCAAGCTAAGCCACTCCCCTTCAGACCGAACCTAACCATCCACTCACCACCACCAGGGTCAAGCTAAGCCCCTCCCCTTCAGACCGACCCCAACCATCCACTCACCACCACCAGGGTCAAGCTAAGCCACTCCCCTTCAGACCGAACCTAACCATCCACTCACCACCACCAGGGTCAACATAAGCCCCTCCCCTTCAGACCGACCCCATTCATCCACTCACCACCACCAGGGTCAAGCTAAGCCACTCCCCTTCAGACCGACCCTAACTATCCATTCACCAC